GACATTGATGGAAGTTCCCAGTGCTCACATTTTATGCTTATTAGTGATACTTTTCACGAGTTTCCAGGGCTAGAGGGACTTTTCCACGCTGTTTAATGATTTTCAGTTTAACTCTCTTTCTGAGTGGGATGTTGTAAAGATTAATTAGCCAATGTTCATAAAGTGCTTTCAAGCTGAAAAGTACTGCAAAAGGGTGTGCAGACTCATTAGCTTCTTAGTCATTAAGGCTTTTTAGACCTTTTGGCATTCAGAAACTAGACAGTGAAGGCCAAGTTAATAGTTTTTTCTTGGAAGAAGAGGATTTAAAAAAGAGCAGAATAGAGCAATATCCCTATCCCTCTTTCTTAAAAAAAAAAAAAAAAAAAAAGACATCTATGGCACTGGGACTGAAAAAAAGATATAAACATATTTTAATTTTCATCGTCTCCTATATCCATACTGCATCTGCTTTCAAAATGTGGTTATCTGATTCTCCTGCACATTTGTTCAGAACCTTTATGATCATACTGTCATATAGGTATTCATAGTAGAGCTGATTCTGGCCTCAGAGCACTGAATTGTTGTACTGATAAATGACCAGGGTAGGTAGAACATTCCCTTTGTAAATAAAGATCCCCTCTTGGTTTGGAATGTGTCAAAAGGTGTAATACTATCTCCACCCTCAGTAATATTTGATCACTATATTTAGAGTTCTGTCTGAATCAGTTAAGCCTGTGATTGAGGCTGGAAAGTACAGACTGGCCACCAAAGACATAAAGAGGTCCTAAAAGAAACCAGGGACAAAAATGGATAATGTGCAATGAATTCGATTGACACCAGACTTTTTAGCAGCATCAGCTGCACACGATGGGGAAATAATATCTTTTAAGTACTGAGAGAAATAGCTGTCAACCTAGAATTGTATACCAAACTGAATTACTTTTCAAGATTAATCATAAAGACATTTCTATACAAAACAAAACATATTTACCACGAATGCTAAAGGATATTCTAAAGGATTCAAAAAGAGAAAATTATTTCAGAAGGAAACAAGAAGAGGCTAGAAAGAATAAAGAGGAAAAAATTGGGAAACATGAGGGTAAATCTGAAACAGCATTAGGTAATCATAATGTCCAGTTTGCAGTAACAAAACAAGGTATAAGTTTAAAAAAAACCAAAAAAGTAACATGTATATAACAGGAAAGTTAAAGTATTCAACCTCCTTATCTTATTTGGAAGGAGGCTAAAGATGTTAAAATTAGGTTTTGTTAAGTATGCACATAGACTTTCTAGTTTTTTTTTTTTTTTTTTTAACATTTTTTATTTATTTCTAGGAGAGAGAGAGAGAGACAGCGTGAGCAGGGGAGGATCAGAGAGAGAGGGAGTCACAGACTGAAACAGGCTCCAGGCTCTGAGCTGGCAGTCAGCACAGAGCCCGACGCGGGGCTTGAACCCACGAACCGTGAGATCATGACCCAAGCGAAAGTCGGACGCTTAACCGACTAAGCCACCCAGGCGCCCCTAGACTTTCTAGTTTTAATCACTAAAATAAAAGAAATGTAATGTAGTGTGTGTGTAGGGGGGGGATTCAATGGCATGAGAAAATAAAATCAATAGCAACTGGCTCAATAAAAAGGGAATAAAGAAATTTAACATGGATCTTAGTAATTGCTCCTGGTCTCTTACTTTACAATTACAACTACTAAGTGACTTGTGGAGTTCATATCAATATATGTATAGGACAATTGAAAAATAAAATAGTCTTACTGATATGTGAACAGCTATTTCTGGCTTGGGATGAAAGGTTCAGTACCAGCAGCACCTTGATGACACAGGACATGGATTTTAGCAGAGGAACCTCAAATATAGGGAACACAGGTCTTTCATAATGTACAGTAAGCTTGCCTGACCTCTGCCCCAGAGAATATTATCTTAATTATACTTCATAGTAAAAAAGTCTGCTCTTTGCTCTGGAAGAAGACACTTTTTTCCAAGGCCATTCATTATACAAACACCTTTGACATATAGAGCAGTGCCTTTCTAAGTTGGGCAGAAATATGAGAGATCCATAGAGAGATATCTCCTAAAAAGTTTGGGTAAGTTTGTAAATCCTCAGTTTTCTGATGAAAAATAGAATGAATGGTATGGCATATGTAGTTACAAGGATCAGATGATACAGTATATATAAAATGCTTAATGTCATATCCAAAGACTTTGTCAATATCAATTACTATTATAAATCATAATTTCTTGAATAAAATGTGAGCATGTTTATTGACATGCTCAATACATGAATTCTTTGTTTTCTCCAGCAAGCAGAGTATTACATCTCATGGATGTTTCTACTTATCACTAAGTATTAGAACTAAAAAGGATAAGAAAGATTACCCAGTGAAACCAGGCATTTTACAGATAAGGAAATAGGTTCAGAAACATTAAGTGACTTGTTGGCTTTCACACAGAATAGCCATATAAAGGACAATTGTCATTTAATTTAATATTCACATAATTTTTAATTAGGCCCAATGCTTGGAGCTCAATAAATATTGGTATCACAGAGGAATTGAAGCAAGGCTATGATATATTAGAAAACATTTCACATAATCATTTGGTCATTCTCTTCTATGTTACTTGCTTGACCTATAAACCACCTTAAACTTGGTCCCTGAAGGTAAATAAATATAGGAAGAAAGAGAGGAAAGGAGGAAGGAAGTTGGGAAGTAAAGAAGGAAAGAGAAAGAGAGAAGAAGGAAGGAAAGAAGAAGGAAGGAAGGAAGGAAGGAAGGAAGGTAGGAAGGAAGGAAGGAAGAAAAATAGAAATAGAAAAAAGAGGGGCACCTGGGTAGCTCAGTTGGTTAAGCATCTGACTTCGGCTTAGGTCATGACCTTGCAGTTTGTGGGTTCGAACCCTGCATCGGGCTCTGTGCTGACAGCTCAGAGCCTGCAGCCTGCTTCAGATTCTGTCTCCCTCTCTCTCTGACCCTCTTGTGCTCACTCTCTGTCTCTTAAAAATAAATGAACATTTAAAAAAAAATTAAGAAAGAAAGAGAGAGAGAGAGAGAGGAAGGGAGGGAGGAAGGCAGGAAGACAGGCAGGTAGGGAGGAGGGAAGGAAGGAAGGCAGGAGAGAAAGAAAAAAAGGAGAAAAGTAAAATAACCTATATCTCCACCTTCCCTCCATCTCTATCATAGTCACTGCCTCCAAAGCAGAGGCAAAAAACAGGAAACTACAAGAAAAGTGCTGTGTGTGTAGGTGATGTTGAAAGTGGTCCCATTCTGGCTAAAGGCAGGGAAATTCTGGCAGAGTATCTGGCAGCTTTATGTCAACAGCTTTATCCTGGCTTACCAACAAACTTCCGAAGGCATGAGGGAGAGTAGTAAGGAAGGGGAATTAAGGGGTAACAGAACTAGCATCCAATTCTAGGAGACACCATGTTGTAAGACATGATCATCAGCTATAGAATAAGATGACCTGAGTTCCTGTGTGAGTTTGAGCAAGTCACTGAATTTCCTGATCTCTAAAATGGACTTAAAATTTTGCCATGAGAATTGATATGCTTTTCAAATAAAGAAATGAAGTGAGAGTGTCTGAAACCTAGCAGGTTCTCATTAAATAGAAGTTGGAATCAAATTCAGTGAAGGACTTTATCCTGGAAAGATCTGTAAAATCAGCTCATTGATTTTATACCTCTACTTAATACCAACCCCATCATTTCTCTGTTTTCTCTAAGAGTGGTGTCACAGCACTGGCTTCTACACCATTGTGAAATACTTTCTGGGACCTGAGGTCACAGCTGAGTATGCCCAGGTAGCCAGAGCAAGATCTGAAGAGGAAAGCAATGATAGGGAATGTGGATTGTTCTTCATCTTTTGTCTTCCTCAAACCCGCTGCAAAATTACCTCCCATTCTGGGTAATTCTGATTCGGGTGTCCCCAGGGTATCCCACACTGTCCCTGCTGTTCTCATCCTTCACCCGTGGTAAACTCTTCCGGGCATGTGGGAGCTGCTCTGTTTTGTTATTGCTCTAAAGTACCTCTTCACAGGACATTGTAGTGTGGTGTGTGTGTGTGTGTGTGTGTGTGTGAGAAAGAGAGAGAGAGAGAGAGACAGAGACAGAGACAGAGAGAGACAGACTGACAGACAGACAAGGAGACAGGGAGGGAGACACATGCCCTTTTCTATCTGCTTTAGAGGAGTCCCAAAGCAATGTTACTCATCCCAATGTGCTATGTTGTGAAGAGTTTAGGGATATAGTTCTTTCGGTTTTTACTTGGAGCATTCTCTCTCCCTTCGGAATCAGAGATTCTGGAATGAATTTGAGTGAGAGTACCAGGCAGTACTGAAAATCAGAGATACTGAAATGATGAGAGTCTTTGTTGGGACTGAGCCTACCACACCTAGCTGTTTCTTCCCATAGGAGACGTGTTCTCTTAAAGAATCCCCAGCCTTTCCTCAAACGGGCTTCAGTAGGATGTCCCACAAATTTACATTCAGTCCAGCTATGTCAACACAATAGCAGGGCACAATTTGAGCTCTTTTGCTTGAGGCTACTGGGCCATTGCACACTTCAATCTGTAGCTGACAGTGCCTGGGTCAAGCTGAGATCCCTCCTACAAATACTTACATACAAAGAAATGGACTCACAGCCTGCCTGCCTCCAAATGTGAATGTGGGCACTTGCCTTAAATTCTAGGTATATGAATTCATTCATTTATTCCTGTTTCATTGATCAGAGAAGGAATATACATATAATATAGATTTAGTTCCCATATCATAGTAATCTTAGTCTCTTGCTTCACTTTATATGCTCATAGATGTGACTGTCCCTGGTTAAAGCTTCACTGAGGCCATGTTATAGTTAAGTCTGAAAAACATCCTTTATGAAGTTAAGATACTAGTATCAACAACTCCATACTCAATTTCTGTGATTGAAAAGAAAGTATTATGATCAGGCCACTGCAGGGAAGGTGGAATTTGGTGCAGTGATGTTTTAATGTTCTTAACATTCTCTTTGCCCCCAGGTTATGCAGATGTATCTTCCATTTTGTGGAATCGCCATATCTAATGCTCAGCTATTTGCTGCCTCAAGGAAAGAATATGAAAGGAGCAGGGTGAGTAGAAAGAAACATTGCTGACAACCCTAAAAGCTCTCTGAATTTCAAGTGTCTGTGAGTCATCATAAAACAGCAGATGATCTTTGAATAGCCCAGGAATCCTTTTTATTTGTTTAATCCTTCAAATTTATGATCGAGATATCCTTTAAGAAATAAATCTAAATAGAAGTGGGTACATATTCTCTGTAGTTGTTTGGGGTAAATGGTACCAGCTTCTTTTAAAAATGAAATTAATTTCTTTTTTTTAAATAGTTTATTGCCAAGTTGGTTTCCACATAACACCCAGTGCTCATCCCCACAAGTGGCCTCCTCCATGCCCATCTCCTCCCTCCCCCCCACACCCATCAGTCCTCAGTTTGTTCTCAGCATTCAAGAGTCTCTCATGGTTTGCCTCCCTTCCTCTCCCCAACTATTTTCCCCTTCTCCCCTATGGTCCTTCGTTAAGTTCCTCCTAATCCACCTATACGTGCATATCTGTCCTTCTCTGTCTGACTCATTTCGCTCAGCATAACACCCTCTAGTTCCATCCATGTTGCTATGAATGGCCAGATTTCATTCTTTCTCATTGCTGTGTAGTATTCCATTGGATAGATAAACCACATCTTCTTGGTCCATTTGTCTGTTGACGGACACTTAGGCTCTTTCCATGTTTTGGCTATTGTTGAGAGTGCTGCTATGAACATTGGGGTACATGTGCCCCTATGCATCAGCACTCCTGTATCCCTTGGGTAAATTCCTAGCAGTGCTATTGCTGGGTCCTAGGGGAGTCTATTGTTAATTTTTTGAGGAACTTCCACACTGTTTTCCAGAGGGGCTGCACCAGTTTACATTCCTACCAGCAGTGTAGGAGGGTCCATTTCTCCACATCCTTGCCAGCATCTGGAGTCTCCTGATTTGCTCATTTGAGCCACTCTGACCAGCGTGAGGTGGTATCTCAGTGTGGTTTTGATTTGTATTTCCCTGATGAGGAGGGATGCTGAGCATCATTTCATGTATCTTTTGGCCATCTGGATGTCCTCTTTGGAGAAGTGTCTGTTCATATCTTCTGCCCATTTCTTCACTGGATTATTTGTTTTTCGGGTGTGGAGTTTGGTGAGTTCCTTATAGATTTTGGATACTAGCCCTTTATTTGATATGTCATTTGCAACTGTCTTTTCCCATTCTGTACGTTGCCTATTAGTTTTATGGATTGTTTCCTTTGCCATGCAGAAGCTTTTTATCTTGATGAGGTCCCAATAGTTCATTTTTGCTCTTGATTCCATTCAAACCCTAGAGGAGAAAGCAGGAAACAACCTCCTTGACCTCAGCTGCAGCAATTTCTTACTTGACACATCCCCAAAGGCAAGGGAAAATGAAATTAATTTCACAGAGCCTGGGTGGCTTAGTTGGTTAAGTGTCCAACTCTTGATCTCAGCTCAGGGCCTGCTTGGGATTCTCTCTCCCTCTCTGTTTCTCTTTTTTTTTAAATAGTTTATTGTCAAGTTGGTTTCCATATGCTGCCTCTCCCCCACTCACCCTCTCTCTCAACATACATAAATAAATTAAAAAAAATAAAATTAATGTCACATCTATACTGTAAGGTAGCAGCTATACTCTTACTTATGGCTTTGAGACAATAACACACTTTAGTGATAATTTTATAATTTAGTTCCTTTAAGAAGCAAGGCATGTTACAAATTATTTCACCCCACCTCATAAATTTTCCTTATGAATTCAAAGTTTTTCTGACGGAGCATCACAAGATAGCTAGACAATAATGCAAACACTTTTATAGAATTATAAAGAAACACACACAAAGAGGGGTTGATCTCGTATATCTTCAATAGCTTTAGAGTTAAATAAGAAAGAGAGAGAGAAAGAGAAGGAGGGAGGGAGGGAGGGAGGGAGGACGGAAGGAAGGAAGGAAAAGGAAGGAAAGAAAGAAAGAAGGAAAGGTAAAGAAGGAAAGAAAGAAAGAGAGGAAAGAAAGGGGAGAGAAAGAGGAAGGGCAGGTGGGCCGACACTCAAAAATAATTCCAAACCATCAAATAGAGATTAAGTTAAACTAGGCTTATTATACCTTTTTTTTAATAAGATTTAAAAAAAAAATTAAGTAATCTTTCCAACCAGTGTGGGACTCGAACTTATGACGTGAGAGATCAAGAGATGCCCATTCCATTGACTAGGGCTTTGTTATACCTTTATTTATCTATTTATTTATTTATTTATTTATTTATTTAACATTTTAAATGTTTCTTTATTTTTAAGGGAGAGAGCCAGAGTGCAAGCAAGGTAGGGGCAGAGAGAGGGAGACACAGAATCTGAAGCAGGCTCCAGGCTCTGAGCCATCAGCACAGAGCCGGACACAGGACTCAAGCCCATGAGCTGTGATATGACCTGAGGAGAAGTGCGAGGCTCAACTGACTGAACCACCAAAATGCCCCATTATACTTTTAAACATATCGAGATTACTGCCACAACTTAGAAATTTATTTAACAAGGTTTCAAAAAGTTGGAAATCCTCAGCTAATTAGTAATCAAATTGGCTAAAAGTTTCATTAGCTAAGCATGATTTATGAATATTTCACAGTAAACAGATGAACACAACAGATTACTACAGTCGTCTTCTTTAACATAGCTTACCACACCATTTCTCTGATTTGGATCCTGGTTTTGTCATCAACCCTGTGGCTTACCATTTTCTTCCTTTCATTTGGCACTCCAGCAATAGTCGCCAGTTGCCAGAATAGTCTGTTATTTTACTTTGTTATACCTTTAGCCACATTCCTCCTTCCGCTTTTCCTCCCACCACCACCTGCCTTACAGATCCTTCAGGACCCAGATCAGCCTTCTAGTCAATCCTCCCTTCTTTGCTTATTGTCATTCCTTGTACATATTGCCATTATTGTACTTTGGACACTTATCACACTGTAGAATATTTACTTACGGCCTTCCTCTCCACCCACATTTTGAAGTCTTTAAGGGATGCATCGTGTATTATTGATCTTTACATCCTCATGTTTGGCACAATTTATTTACCTGTTCAGCACATTTATTGTGTGATATTCTTCAGACACTGTGTGTCTGTAGTCCCTCCCCTCATAGAACTTACTATTCTAGTGGGAACAATAGTAATAGGCAAGCAAACAAATAAAAGATAATATAGTATCAGGTAGTGGTAAGTGCTATAACAAGTAAAATGAGATAAAGGGATAGAGATGGGTCACTGAAGGATAGTTTGGGAGGATGTTTATTTCAAATCATGATCAAGAAGTTCTCTGTAAGATGTTATTTGAACAGAGACCTGAATGAAATGAAGGAGCAAAACCCTACAAAGATCAGGGAAGAGCATTCCAGATGGTGGAAATATCAAGTAGAAAGGCACCGTGGCAGGTGAAAACTTGATCCATGTGTCTGGGGAGTAGAGAGGAAGAATTCAAATTGGCAAAGCAATCCTGAGAAAGAAGAACAAAGCTTGAGGCATCACACTTCCTGATTTCAAACTATAATACAAAGCTATTATGATCAAAACAATATGGTACTGGCTCTAAAAACAGACACGAGACCAATGGAATAGAATTGAGAGCCCAAAAGTAAACCCATGCTTATATGTCAACATATATATGACAAAGGAGCCAAGAATGCTTAATGGGGAAGAGATAGTTTTTCTAATAAATGGTAATGAGAAAACTGGATATTCACATGAGAAAAAATGAAATCGGACCCCTACCTTACACCACTCACAAAAATTAACTTGAAGTGAATTAAAGATACAAATGTAAGACATGAAACTAAAACTTCTAGAAGAAACATAGGGGGAAAGCTCCAGCAATTTTTTGACTCTAATACAAAAGCACAAGCAAAAACAAAACAAAAAACAAAAACAAAAACAAGAGTAAACTAGTGGAACCACATCAAACTAAAAAGCTTCTGCACAGCCAAAGAAACCATCAACAAAGTGAAGACGCAGCCTATGGAATGGGAGAGGATACTTGCAAACTGTAATTATATGAGATGATGGATGTGTTAACTAACTTTATTGTAGTAATCATTTCACCGTATGTACATGTACCAAATCATCATATTGTACACCTTAAACTTACACAAAGTTATATTTCAATTATACCTTAATAGAGCTAGGAAAAAAAGAAATAATGTGGCTGGAATTAGGGCAGTGAAAAGTGAGAGATTCCTCCCCAAATTAGCAGTGACATGTACAAAGCTTACTAATGTGGGAGATGAGTGAAAATGACTTCTGGCTTGTACAGATGGCAAGTAAACAGTTGGATACAAGAGTCTAAAGTTTTGGTGAGATGTCAGAACTCAAGATTCATAGTTGGGAACTGTCAGTATATATAGACGGCATTTAAAAGTAGGGTGCCAGTTTGGGTAATGGGGGAGAATATGTGGATAAGAGAAGGGAAAAGGTCCAAGGATGAGCCCAGGAGCAAAAGAAGGCACTAGAAGAAGGAGGGGGAGGGGGAAATAAAGAAATGGGTAGTGATCAGCTGTATGAAGGGCCTCCAATGTCTGTTGAATTGCCTATCATCGTAGATTTCCTTCTCTCTTTCTCCCATTGTAGAGCTAGTCTGTATTGTTATTTGTGAAACTTTTATCACTTGTTAGTAAAGCAGCAATTTTTAATTAGAAACAGTAAAATTACTATGATGTGATTTGTCAGTGCAAGACTCAAGGCACAATTAGTTTCCCTCTGAGATAAATGTTCTTGTATATGGGTCCCAGAGGCCCTATCCACGCAGTCACAACAAATTGAAAAGTTAAATAATTGTTCAGTTAATATGATCCATCTGAAGAAATAGTCTAGATGATTAAGGAAATAATGTTTTCCCCCTTAATAACAAGGAATTGTGTTGGTAATTATTCAGACAATTGCCTCATTTTTAATGTTATATTTAAATATGAAATCATTGCGCATTGACTTCTTACAGCAATTTGCTGTCCAAATGCCAAACAGTTAGAATACACTTGAAACTTGCTTTCCCGTCTGCGCTCGCGGAGAAGCAGGGCTTTCGGAGAGATATCCCACCTCTAACTGTGGGGCTTTCCTTGGACTGGTGGCCTCGGTCTGGCACTGGACAGTGGAAGTTCCCTCCAGGTTAGGTGGTACCCCAGGGACGCGGTCGGCATCAGGAGGAACCAGTTCCCTGCCCTGAAGTGCCTTGGCTTGTGGGATTGCAAGTTGGGTGGCATCATTAAAAACGCACGGAGTGAGGGCGTGAGGCACGGGAGACGGCCCGCCTCCTCTGCGCCTGTGGCACAGGTTACTTCAAGGAACAAACCTAAAGTGCACATCGTGGAGAGTTCAAAACATCACTACGAGTAGAGAAATAAAACCAAAGTCACAAGAGAGACCAAGGGACACCCTTCAAAGAAGACTTCCTGAACGGCCAGGCCCTGGACAGTGTATGAGCCTCCTTTAATATTAATATAGCAGCACTCACAGGGGCAGAACACATCACAAGCTTTTAAAACTAACGAGAAAGAAAGCTAGCCAAAATGACAAAACGGAAGAACTCTCCTCTAAAGAAATTCGAGGGAGAAATAACAGCTAGAGAACTGCTCAAAACCGATCTAAGCAACATAACTGAACAAGAATTTAGAATAATACTCATAAAATTACTCATTGGGCTTCAAAAGGGCTTGGATGACATCCGAGCCATTATTGTTGCAAATACTGATGAACTAAAAAATGCAACACAAAATAAAATGGAGGCGTTGGCTACTGCACGGATTGAAAAGGCAGAAAAAATACGTGAATTAGAAGATACAATTATAGAGAAAGAGGAAGCCGAGAAAAAGAGAGAGAAATTGGTCCAGGAACATGAAAGGAGAGTTCGAAAGCTGAGTGATACAATCAAACGGAAGAATATCCATATCATAGGAATTCCAGAAGGAGAGAGAGAGAAAGGAGCAGAAGGTGTACTTGAACAAATAATACCTGAGAACTTCCCCAACCTGGGAAAGGAAACAGATATTGAAATCCAAGAGGCACAGAGAACTCCCCACAGACGTAAACTGAATCGATCTGCACGACATACAGTGAAACTGGCAAAATACAAGAACAAAGAGAGAATTCTGAAAGCAGTTAGGGATAAAAGGGCCCCAACATACAAAGGGAGACATATCAGGGTAGTAGCAGACCTATCTACTGACACTTGGAAGGCCAGAAAGGAATGGCAGGAAATCTTCAGTGTGATGAACAGGAAAAATATACAGCCAAGAAGCCTTTATCCAGCAAGCCTATCATTCCGAATTGAAGGAGAGATCAAGGTTTATCCCAACAAAAAATGGAGGAATTCATCATCACTAAACCAGCCCTACAAGAGATCCTATGAGGGAAATGTTGCAAGGAACACAAAGTCCCAGAGACACCACTACAAGCATGAATCTAACAGAGAACACAATAACTCTAAACCTGTATTTTTCAATAATAACACTGAATGTAAATGGACTAAATGCTCCAATCAAAAGACAGAGTAGCAGAATGGATTAAAAAGATTAGATCCATCTATTTGCTGTTTACAAGAGACCCATTTTAGACCTGAGGACACATTCAGATTGAAAGTGAGGAGATGGGAAAACATCTATCATGCTACTGGACATCAAAAAGAAAGCTGGAGTAGCCATATTTATATCAGACAAACTGGACTTTATTTTTTATTTTAAAGGCAAAGAAGGGCATTATATAATAATTTCAGGGTCTATCCATCAGGAAGAGCTAACAAGTATAAATGTCTATGCACTGAATTCAGAAACACCCAAATACATAAGACAATCACAAACATCGATAAGAATGTGCTAATAGCCAAATATGGAAAGAGCTTAAGTGTCCAACTGATGAATGGATCAAGAAAATGCAGTTTATATATACAATGGAATACTACATGGCAATGAAAAAGAATGAAATCTGCCATTTGTAGCAACATGGATGGAACTCAAGGGTATTATCCTAAGTGAAATATGTCAGGCAGAGAAAGATACCATGTTTTCACTCATGTGGAACTGGAGAAACTTAACAGGACCATAGGGGAGGGGAAGGGGGAAAAACAGTTGGGGGAGAGGGAGGGAGGCAAACTATGAGAGACTCTTGAATACTGAGAACAAACTGAGGACTGATGGGGGGGAGGGGAAGGGGGCTGTTGGCATGGGGAAGGGCACTTGTTGGGATGAGCACTGGGTGTTATATGGAAACCAACTTGACAATAAACTATATTAAAAATATAAAAAAAAAAAAAAAGAATACACTTGAAACTTTTTTCACCTCCTGGTGTTTCTCCGCATTGGGATCATAGAGCTACCCAGGGCCTTTAATCACATTCACAAGCTCTTTTTAGAGAAAATGCTACCAAGGACATTTGATCCTCTTTTAGATGCTCAGTGAACTAGACTCATTTCATGGACCTCTTAACTCATTCAAATGCTTTTCTACCTGAACAGACTCAGAGAAGAAATTTTCACATGTTTTCAATGGTTCAGGACAAATCAAATTCATTACTAAAGTTGAAAATTGGTCATATCCCTGGGATGATCAGCAGCAGCATCTACCTGAATAGATGTTCATTTGAAAACCCACGAAATCCTTTTGTGAGAGGTCAGACCTGAGAGTGTACATCTTATTAAGTTCTCCCGAACAAAGCACCCTCTGGCCAATTCCCTGGCCGTGTAATTTTCTTATTGCTTTCTGGTAGAAGCATAATATCTACTACCTGTACATAGCCCACTTTTCTGAAATCTCTGGAAAGAGCCATGTAATTAAAAATTCCAAATACGTATTATTTCAATGCAGAAATTGCAAGCTAACTTAGCTGGATAAAATAACAGGTTATTACAATTTGATTTTTAAGTGGGTATGCAGTTTTCAAGTTAGAATTTTAAGTTCTTTTCCTTTAATTTCTGTGCTTTTCATTCTGTTATTTTAACAAAAATTTTAATGGTATTTTCTTTGCTGAGAATAATAGTATTTAAATGTTTTCCTGCAGAGGTGAGATGAAACTATACTTCTTGTGTAGAGGGATTAATGGAGGTTTATATATATGCGTGTATATATATAGCCATATATCTATATGTATATATATAGCCATATATAAATATATGTGTGTGTGTGTGTGTGTGTGTGTATATGGCTTTGAAGCTTAATTAGCATTCACCCCTATAATTCCTTAAGAATTCTGTGAGAAATGTATATCAGGGAAAACAAGTCTCAAGTTTGACCATGAACCCATTTCTTTCCTGATGGTGAGGAAGAGCTGCTTTGTAATTTTCTGAAAGAAATGTACTTTAGAGAGAATCAGATATTCATCTAACATTATAAAATGTTGAGTTTATATGTACACATTGCAGAAAAACTACTATAGGAGATGGGGGAGGGGCATGGAGGGAACCTGAGAGCTAAGGACTCAATGGGACTGTGTAGTCATTAGCTACTTGGGAAATAGCCCTATAGCTATCTGTGGGATTTAGAATGGGATTATACGGACTGGTACTGTTTTCAAGTTGTGGTTTTTGGTTCAAAACTGTGTTATGAAACAACATGATGGAATATGTCAAAACAATCATAAATGCTTTAAGAATTAGCCACACAAGGGTACCTGGGTGGTTCAGTCAGGTAAGTGGCCAACTTCAGCTCAGGTCATGATCTCACAGTTCATGGGTTCAAGTCCTGTGATAGGCTCTGTGCTGACAGCTCAAAGCCTGGACTCCTTTGAATTCTGTGTCTCCCTTTCTCTTTCTGCCCCTCCCTTTCTTATGCCATCACTCTCTCAAAAATAAGTAAACATTAAAACATTTTTTTAATTAGCCACACAAACATTTATATTTTATTAATGCAAAGACTAAATGAGATTTTGAGAGGAAAAAATAACCCATTTTTATTCAGTCCTATACCCACCTAGATATATCCATTTTGTCTTTCCTAGGCTTTGCTAGAGGTTGTTAATGACCTCTTTGAAGAACAGACTGACCTGGAGAAAATTGTCAAGAAAATAATGCATCGGGCCCAAACTCTGTTGAAATGTGAACGCTGTTCTGTTTTACTCCTGGAGGACATTGAATCACCAGTAAGTCATCTTTTATCTGTCATCTAGAGTTGCAGATTGAATTAATGGAATACAATGTAGTTTATTTGTAATTCAGCTCATGAAACCACTCCCTTCATGACTCTTCTAACCATGAGGTGGCTTTTTGTGAAATTAAAGTTTTTTTATTTCTTTTACATGTATTATAAGTCTTGTGTTGCTGTCATCTTAGAAACATAGACTCTTAGGTTGATGGGGCTCTTAGAGATCTGTCGCAGTCCTGAGTATTTACAGATGAGGGAACTGAGGGGTTGGATGGTTTGCCTTGTCTCTCCCAGCTGCATAGACATTAGCTTAGGTGCCATGCTCCTGTCGTATTTGCCCAGCGTGAGGAAGGCCCTTAGCATCTAAGGGTGTGGACTGCAATCCAGACGATGCTCCACAGTCCTCTAATCGGGAGGAGGAAGCAAACAAATGCTGGAGAAGCCATGCCCTTTGCTTTTGTACTTGAGCTGAGTGGGGTGACAAGCCTCAGCTGGGCTGTGCTCTGCAGCAAAGGTCTCAAGCACAGTCTCCAAGTTCTCTTACAGTCACTTTGGAGCTTGGGGCACTTGCACAGAGTACTGGGCGGGTGAAGGAGGCACCCTGCTCTTCACCGCAGGAGGTCCTGGTACTTACTACAAAGGCAAGCGGCAAGCTAGTTCAAGGCCTCAGCACCTTGGCTGTCAGGTTTCTGTTAAGCCCTTTGGCTCTTTGGGGGGAATCTGCTGGGTAAACACACAACAGTATTGAAAATAATGATCATCATCAATCTAACTTCTTGAAAGTTAAATGTCTAAACCCTTAGCAGCAATTTAATATCTTTACTGTGAACTGTCTTCAAAGACCAAGAATTGTCTAGCTATTTAAGTGCTGTTTTAATACCGCAGAGGATGATATTTTACTGTACTTAGAAGAGGTTATTATCTTTGCCTTTAGGTTTGTTTTCTTCAAAGAATAAGAACCTTAGGGTAAATCTGGGATATTTAATAATAAGTATTGTAAAACTTCAACATGAAGTTTGAAAAAATCTATATATGTTTCAAATGTTTAGGGGCATTTGCCCATATTTTAGCAGAGCTGGAAGTTATTTCTGTTTCAGCAAGTGTGGTTTAAACAACCAATAATCTTCCCATAATCCTGTGATTGTGTAAAATTCAGTGGAACTTTGGGAGGATACACACACATCTGACCACTAGCCTATATGGAATGCTTCGAGATGCTTTTGTGAATTACTTGAGTTCACTCACTTCCCCTTCATCCTTATGAAATAGGCATTATTATCACCCTCATTTTATAGAGCAGGAAATAAGGCTCAGAGGGTCGAGTGACTTCCTGGAGCTCCCTCCCTGCCCCCCCCCCGCCCCCACCACGTGACTCTAAAGCCTCAGAAAGGACTGGGGAGGGCTGGCCTGGGGGTGCTTGTTGGTGCGGGCATGCTATAGGCTGTCACTAAGCAAAAGCAGAGAGAGGCAGCTGCTGGGGCCTCGGCTGCCAGGTTTCCCTGAACCATCCCCCAGATGCCTGTGAGGGCAAGTGGCTGGAGGGCCAGGTGGAATCTGGACAAGGACAGACATGCTGGTTCAGTTGCAAACAGCCATGCAAGTAATCTAAACCAGCTTAGGGTGGCCGTTCTTGCTAATCTTTTAACAGAGACTGGTTTTTGTGCTGTGGCTTTGCTCTTTAGCACATCAAATGAAAAAGTACAGATGGCAGAAGTGGATATGGAAGGTGGGGATAGAGCTTGAGGGAAGAGTAGGAACAGTGTCGCCTTGTGGTATAAAGTACAGGAGTAGGGGGTGGGTATCAAAACCCACTATCTATGAGGCACCTATGTGGCTCAGTTGGTTAAGCATCTGACTTGATTTCAGCTCAGATCATGATCTCACAGTTCGTGAGTTTGATCCCCATTGGGTTCTGCACTGACAGCACAGAGCCTGCTTTGGGTTCTCTCTCTCTCCCTCACTCTCTGCCCTTCCCTGATTGCATTCGCTCTCTCTCTCAAAATAAACAAACAAACAAAAAAAACCCCACTATCTAAAGTAGATGTTAGAGTAGATGGTATCATCACACTTTGCTGAAAGTTACAAAGACCTTTTTGCTACGACAGATGAAAATTCTAAGACTGTAATGGTGGGATTACAGCAGGAAGTTCCAGGCCCCTTTACACGATGTCTTTTCTTTGCCCACCCCCTCCCAGTGAAAGCGAGGATGAGCTCCTCTAAGGGCCAAGGTCTAGAGGTAAAAGTCAGCCATGTGCAAAAAGAGGAGACTAATCTGCTTGGTACCATTTTAGAAGCTGTAAAGAGTTTTTGGCAAGGTGGCTGCCTGGGTTGCTGTGGGAGGGGTGAAGGCAGGAGTGAGGTTATATATACATGGGTCACCAGGTAGAAACCCCATCGATGCCATGCTCTTCTTTAGCACGCTTCCACCAAAGACTTCTTGAAACATCAGCCTTCCCCTGGTTGTGTGATAGCAGTTACAAGAAGGACACCAGACACAGTCATGCCAAGTACAAAAAGAGAAGCCAGACCAAACTGGGTACCAGGCACCAAAATCTGATGCCGCACGTTCAACCAACAGAAGCAAAGACTGTGTGCACTCAGGGCTCATGAGACTGGCCTCTCCCAACAGGTATCTTGGTTGTGAGGAATAGTTTAACTTTAATTTTTTTTAAATCTTTACTGGAGGGGGAGGGTCAGAGAGAGAGGGAGACATAGAATCAGAAGCAGGCTTCAGGCTTCCAGCTGTCAGCACAGAGCCCGACATGGGGCTCAAACTTGGGAATGGCGAGATCATGACCTGAGCTGAAGTTGGATGTTTCACTGACTGAGCCACCTAGTCGCCCTAGGAATATTTTAACTTTAATGTGTCAAGTTTATCAATTTCCTTTAAAAAAAATTTCTTAATGTTTATTTATTTTTGAGAGAGAGAGAGAGAGAGAGAATGAGTAGGGGAGGGGCAGAGAGAGAGGGAGACACAGAATCTGAAGCAGGCTCCAGACTGAACTGCCAGCACAGAGCCCGGCGTGGGGCTCGAACTCAGGAACTGTGAGATTATGACCTGAGCTGAAGTCCGACGCTTAACCAACTGAGCCACTCAGGCACCCCTATCAATTTCCATTTTGATTGGTGCCTTAAGAGTTTTGTTTAAAAAAACACTTTATCTGCCTCCATGTTATAATAACATTCTGTCACATTTCCTTTAACCCATCTGGTATTTATGGTCTTGGTATCCATCTAGAATTTATTTCTTGTGTATAGTTTAAGGCCCTCTATGTATAACCTTAGTGTCAGAACCATCCCCCCTCCCCCCACTCTGTAATGCCACTTCTGTATTACATCAAGTTTCCATGTATACCTGGGTCAGTTTCTGAGCTCACCAGTCTGTCTATTTCTGCACCAGTATCATACTGTCTCGGTTTCTGTAATTTCCATACTACACTTGGATATCAGACAGAACAAGTCTCCAGTGCTATTCTCTTTAAAATCAGCCTACTTATTCTTGGCCTGTTGCTCTTTCATATAAATTTTCAGAGCAGCTTATCAAGTTCCATGAGAAACTCTGTATAGACTTTGATTGAAATTGCTTTAATTTACACATCAGTTTGGGCAATTTCTGCAAGTAATGGAATATATAAGGGGAGAATGGCTTAAACCGTAAGAACGTCTGTGTCTTACAGGAGAGGTCTGCAGGACATGGCTGCTGATCTTGCAGTAGCCCGGTATGTAATCAGCAGGCCAGCTCTGTCCACCTTCCTGTGCACACACGTCTCAGTGCTCGGCTGGCTTTCATCCTTCTAATCCAGGAGGCTGGCCCAGCCCCAGGCAGTATGTTGTCATGTGACTGTGTCCCTGGGGAAGAAGAAAGGAAAACTCCTGTTCATGTCTCTCTCTTTTTCTCATGGAAGAAAGTCTTTTCCAAAAGAGGGTTTTCCAGCTGACTTCCCTCGAGATCTGTTGGTTGAGAACAAGATGTTCAAATCATTCATATTCTTAATATTTTTCTATTCTTCACTTCTTATTCTCTGATACAGGTGTGTTCAAATGTTCAGCATAACTGGGATTTATCAGCATCTACTTGTCCGATTCTGCAGGTTGTTGGTTTAGGTGTCTATATTAATAGTAATTGTTCATTAGTTTTTGAATTTGGGATTGGAGCTCGTTTTGATGGGAGGGTGTTTTGTTTGCCTGTTTCTTTGTCTGTGCCATTGTTTTCTTTGGTTCTCTCTGGTACTCTTCCCTCCCTGTCTGATAGTCTGTGCAGTTTCTTGTCCCCTAGACAAGAACTCGGCCTTATGTTGGGTCTCCTGCTGTGTGGTAATATTGCACTAAACCAGAAGCATCATGGTCCATTTCTGGGGGTGAAGCTAGGCCACCTGTTTCAAGGGAACAGTTTTTTTAGTCCCTCAACCCCAGTAGAAGCTGAAATTCCAGTCCTTGCTGCCTGCCCATTTCTGGACTTGGGGTGCAGTAGGCCCGTCTTCACGCTTGGCCCTTTAGAGATCTTTTCTTCTTATACTCTGCCATCCTGCCCTTCTCTTTTTTCTGCTTTTTAACCCCTAGATGTCTTTCTGGTTTTCTCTTTCTGTACTTTATCAATCTTTGCTCTGCCTTTGGCAGAGAACAGATGTGTTAAAACATTTAACGTATAGACATCTCTACTAGCAGTCTATATACTACTTTTTACAATTGGGGGAAAAAGTATCATTTCAGGAAAAAAAATCTGCTGAAAGTTTCCTTTCTCTAAAAATAAATGTTGCTTTTCTCTATTTTATTAGAATCATTCCTAGAAACAAAAACTTCTAATTGTTGACTTGTGATTTGAATATTTAAAAAGCTGGTTATTGTAGGCGTATGCTATTTCCTGGCCTTTCTTCATTTTCAGGAAAGAGGAAGAAAGGAAATTGAAATCTAGTTATAGATGCTTTGATTCATCAAGCTCTTAACTCAGTGTTTAGAGACTGCCTTCATGGTCTTTTTTTTTTTTTTTTTTTAATGTTT